GCAAAGAATATATTACAATACGCACCCAAAAGGGTCCATAACTTAGAGCAACGTTAGGAGCCCTTGTTGGGGGTAAACACCCAGATGGCCCCATGAGCAGCAATCACTCTAAATCTTGAATCCCGCAGATAGAAGTCCGGAGAGAAGTGATTGGAAAATCAAATGGACAGGCAAGTGGATAATGAAATGGTGGCTGTGGGGTCACACTGAAGGGTTTGGGGTGTACGTATTGGAACGCAGGAAACGAATCAAACAAAACAAGTGGAACGTGTCATGAATGGCCTGCGAAGGGAATGAAGGAACGGAAAAGAAGATGGAACCCGCTAGGCTGCTATAGAGATACATGGGTTCCCTGCCTCCGAACCAGTAAGTAAATCCTCAGTTCCCCAGCTACCCTGACATGCGAGGACTGACTTTCCCATCCCATGAAGCCTGTCAACATAAGCCATGGTTCCTTCCGTTGCGAGCCGTTTTTGCCTCAGAGGTGATGGAAAGCTGATGCATCCCGCCATCCACATTTAGCACTAGCTTCCTACGCTCTATATCTACCAAAAGCCTCAGAGGTTAACCCCTGCTTGGTGTTGTGCCCCGATTCTCAACTGCGCCAGGGTCTGAGCTTGTGCATGGATGAGGTCAGGGTTAGATAAGTAAGCAAAATATATATATATATATGTACAAATATATACACGTCTAAACCCCTAGAAAACCTTAAACCCATAGATTGATATATACATATATACGGGTCTATGGTGTAGGGTGTTCTCGCGATTTTAGACTTTAAGAATGGAGAATGAGATGGAACAGAAGATATACAAATGACAGCTGGGATGATATAGTGGTTTGTAGAGTTTAGGGTTCAGGGTTTTGCAGGGATTAGGGTTGACCACAATAGTGGAGAATTAAGTGGAAAAGAATATCAAAACTGAAGAGGGACCTGGGGGTATATGCTGAGTCATAGGGATTCGGGTTTCCCAGAATTTGGGGTACCCTTTGAAGGCTCCCCAAAGTAAGAACTATAGCAGTTTGGGGTCTATATTGGGGGTCCTCCTATCTACTGCGGCAGGACAAAAGTTCGCCACGCGGACTCTACTTGACAAGTCTAGGGCTGTGGACCCCCTCTCCCCCCTAGACTCCTAGCACAGGCTCTCCGCCGGTAACTTTACAATAATATAGATTCATTCCCGGAAATTAACTACTCCGCCACGCTGGCCATGCAAAATGACACTTTTACCCTCTCCGCTTCTCCGCGGTACTGTAGGCCATGACAAAGTCCGCCGTATGTCGAAACTTTCGTCCCGGGGATGTATGCAAGCTACTATATATGGGTTTCGGGATAAGTGATGTATAGGGCCCTTTACAGCTGTCTTTCTTTGTCGGGTTTGTATAGTGGGGAAGAGAATGGAAACAACTATGTAATTTGAGTTGTAGCGGGTTGTAGGGTTTGCGTACTTAGAATAACCAATCAATGTACCCATAAAGCACAACAGCATCCGGACCCAAGCGACTTCTGCATAGCCCGTACCTGTAACCCCAATTACCTACAGTTTAATGGTAATTACTCCTCAATTAGTAGGTATAACCCATAAAACTGTAGGTAATCGGGGTCACAGGCTCACAGGTATGAATTCAGTTTAACAGTCGCCACAGCAGATCCACCCTAAACCCTACACCCTAAACCCTAGACACTAGACCCTTAAACCCTATATACCCCTATATACCCCCTTTAAAGGGACCTAAGTATATAATAATTAGGTACTTGGACCCTTAAACCGTAAACCGCACGCGAGGTTCTTCTCCAAGACATGGCGACCGTGGCTCCTGGAACCAACCCTGGGCCTGTCCGAACCTGATATTTTCGAGATTCCCGAGAGGGTCCATGTACCCAATAATTAGGTCCCTTTAAAGGGGATATATAGGGATATACAGGGATATATAGGGGTATATAGGGGTATAGGGTTTAGGGATGAGGGTCCATGTAACCAATAATCAGGTACTTGGGATTTGGGTAATAGTAATTATAGTACAGGGTTTTGGGTAAACTCTGATTATTGGGTACATTCTCAGTTCAATCTAAGGTTATTACAAGAGGGGGAATGGCCCTGAAGGGACCTTATATAAGCCTTATATACCCCTCGTGCAACTTCCCATGATCCCTATATACTATACCTCCCCTATATATATATATATATGTATAGAGAGAGGGAGAGAGAGAGAGGCTCCTCTATTGGAAGCTCCCCTCCTGTAATTGTCCCTATTTCAAGAATGGATCTAGATGGTTCAGCCCTCAGGGTCCAAGTAGCTAATAATCATATACTTACTCATAACCTGTACTACAACTGCTATTGCCTAAGAACCAAGTACCTAATTATTGGGTATTTGGACCCTCAGGGCAGCGTGTTAGCTCCCAAAACCTTAAGCCCTACGTCTGCACAGTGCAACACGGGAATGGGGGCTTGTTTTTGAGGATCCTGCAACCAAGTGGGTTTAGGTTTCAGGGAGTATGTGGTGGGAGGAGCCCAACCTAAGAAATATCATCCCAAAGGGTCTACGTAGGTATATGGTCTCTACTTCAAGACTTAGGGCCCCAGGGGGTTCCCATGTAATTATGTTGGGCGCCCAGCTATGCAGCATGTGCCCACATGGATCCACATAGGCTAGCTCCTGAATCCTAAACCCTGTTTCTTGGACTTCGTGATGAGTTTCAGAGGGATCTTCCAGGGATCATATAGGTTCCCAGAGATCCACGCGTCCAGATAATAGGAGCTATCGTCTAAACTCGAGAAAGGGGGGGTAGGGGATTATGCAGGGAGTATAATAGGGGTTATTAAGGAGGATACTAGGAATTTAGACTATAGCTCGTTTGAATGTTGCTCCCTAAAGTCTTTCGGTCTATGGACTGTGCCTGTTTTGAATGATTAGGATCCCTAGGGGAGATGTTCGTAGTAGATCACGGCTTTTAAATTGAGATTCCATCCTTCCTTTCGAAGCGGACACTTCTCTAGGCACCACTCTTGATACTAAAAGCCCTGCATGACGTAAGTATACTATTGATCATTCTACTGGTGATGACAGGTATGAGTTACTGAGGGTCACACAGGATGGTTCGCAGGCACTGTTACTGTGCTGTCTTCTGACAAGGGCATCCTGACGTGAGAAAGGAATGAAGAGTTTCAACAGGACATGGTGACTAGTAGGGTTTAGGTTTAGGGTTTTTGGCTGCGGGTTTGTTTGGGGCTCAATTAACAGATATCAAAATGTCAGGGGTCGCTTCATCGTGACAATTCGGTATGTAAGAATCCACGTCGAACACCCCTGCTCTTTTCGGGAGAGCTTTTACCGTCTTCCATCCCCCGAGAAGCCACAGAAAAAGGATGCTCTTTGGCCGCAAATGAAGAGGCAGATAAAGTCCAGTATGCAGATCGGTCCAGAACCTCCAGACATTATAAACCTAAATTCCCAAGCCCGAAGCTCTAGACCCCTTGTTTTACGCAGCTTCGGTTAGCAAGTACCTGTAAACCCAATGACCTACAGTTTAATGGGAATGGCCCGTTAATAAGTAGGTATTACCCATAAAACTGTAAGTAATTGGGGTCACAGGTAACTGTTGCAACATTGAGGTCACAGTTGGCGGCAACCCGCCAGTTGTAACCTCAGGAGGTTGTCAAGCCCAGGCTGTCCTGGTGGGTTCTACCTGTGACGCAAATTATGTACCTACAGTTAAGTAGCTGCTACGTACGTATACATAACCCATAGAAATCATCTAGGTAATTGGGGGTTGCAGGTATCCTCTATTTGTAAGATTTCGTCAGCAATGGGTTTAGGGTGTAGGTTCCGAGTATCTATATGTATTACAGTGTTACATTACCTTGTGGGTAGTGTTTCCTTCTGAGGGAGGGCACCATATGAGCAACGACAGCGTGATGGAATCAATTCTAGTACTAGAGTGTCGATTCTTGCTAGCTTGTTGTGCCTTTTCCTGTTCCACCGTTTTGTGTGGGCAGCACGGTCCGAACGTGAGCTCACCGCGCATGACAGTCTGTGAATCGTTCTCAGGGTTTGAAAGGTGCCTCGGGGTTCCTTAATGTAGCAGGGAATGAGGGGATACATGCAAAGCAGTGCCAGCCAAGCAGCTACTCCCTATCATGGTTCTCACGGTCCCAGTAGCTACCCCAGCAGCCCCCTCCTTGTCCACCTTCCTCCCTGTTGGCAAAAAAGTTTAAATATGTATTGTAAACCGATCAAAGTTGCTGCCGTTACTTTGTGACTGTAGGGGTTTGGGTTTGGGGGTTAGGGGAAAGATTCAGTTAGCGTCTCCATCTCCAGAAGTGTTTGCTTGGCATCGTGCCAGGAGACCACTGCCTGCATTTCAGACATACTTTAATGCCGATTGATGTTTGGAGGCCACCATGTTGCGGATAGAATAGAAGTGCAGTGTCGGAAGCCGATGTGTACTTGAAGTACAGAAATCTCACCTAATGACAAAGGAGTTCAACCGCCCATATCAGCCAACCTGTATATGTTGTAATTCTCTCCGAGTACTAACTGTGAGGAGTGTTGAAGTCAAATCATGGTGCTCACGTGCTGCAAAGGTCACAAACCTCCCAACTGGCCAACCGATGCTGATGGAGCCAGTGACGGCGCAGTTCCCTGGTCAAACTGCTGCTCCGGGCCAGGGCCTTACTTACCCCATGCCGGAAGGCATTCCAGGAACACAGCCTCCAGGCCCTGGCTACATGTATGCCGCCCCTCCAGGAACCACCATGGAGCCGGCCCCCATGATGTATGCCGCCCCTGCAGGAACCACCATGGAGCCTGCCCCCATGATGTATGCCGCCCCTGCAGGGACCACGATGGAGCAGGCCCCCATGATGTATGCCGCCCCTGCAGGAACCACGATGGAGCAGGCCCCCATGATGTATGCCGCTCCTGCAGGAACCACGATGGAGCAGGCCCCCATGATGTATGCTGCCCCCCCGGGAACCGTGATGGAGGCAGCCCCCATGTATGCCGCTCCAGCGGGCACCGTGATGGAAGGAGCCCCAATGTATGCTGCACCGGCTGGCACCGTGATGGACGGAGGAGCCCCCATGTATGCCGCGCCAGCAGGGACTGTGATGGAAGGTGCCCCGGCCGAGATGCCACCCTCCACAGCAGGCCCTGGGCCCGGCTTCATGTATGCCGTTCCTGCCGGCGCAGATCCGGCTACAGCAGAACCTTGGTATCGCTGTTCAGCATTTTTACATGTTCGGAGGTGTATGATTATTTGTGGATTACGGTGGTAGATGGTGGTAGTCCAGGTACGGTACAACCCATAGGTCCTGGCAGTGTGCATGTGCAAAACGTGTTATACAGCGAGCTTAGGTATGCCCTACATAATAACCGTGCGCTAAACTCATACCTGCTTTAGGTAAGCATGCACTCAAGTTTGAACTATACCTAAGATCCGTATCTCTGTCTGCAATTTGATATTCTACCCTGATAGCCCCTATCTGCAACTTGGGTTTGGTAGTTATTATAACCCAGAGGGTCCATGTACCCAATAATTAGGTACTTGGGCTTGGGGTAATATTAATTTTAGTACAGGTTTTGGGTAAGTATATGCTTATTAGGTACTTGGACCCTTAGGGATTATTTTGGCTGCAAGATTCAAGTTTTCATCCACCCCTGTATAAACATTGTGTGCGCTTCTCCGCTTGTCTCTCCGGCTTATTCCGTTTGGGCCCCTACAGCAGCCACACGAAACCTAGGGACTATAGCAGGCTTTTCTACATCTGTTGTTACATCTTTTGTCATCAATAACGTTGCACTCACTTTATACGAGAGACTCTGTTTGATGTCTTGCGGTCGCAGGTCAAATAGAGTTCTAGCAGATTGCTTGAGGACTCGCTTTAATGCGTTCTGGTGGTTTGGGCCCCTAGCCGGATCCGTACCATTCCCGCTGTAAAGACCCTTGTAGCCTGTATACTTTTTGAAGTGATTGCCCCGTTATGATTATTAGGCTTATTAATGTTATTCTTCATATTATTAGAATATTGCGATTTTTACTATTGTTATTGTTGTTATTCTAGTTAAAACCATTTTTACCATGTAACTCCTATCCATAGAACCTTCTTTGAGGAGCCTGGCCCCGGGTACACATTTGCCGCGCCTGCCTTCGAAGGCACATTGGACGGTAAGAAGGAATTTGGCGGGAACGTCTTACCGGATTTAGGACTTAGGGCTTAGAGTTTGGTATTGGGGCTGTATGTAGGATTCGGCTCACTTTGTCTGTGAGTTTTTGTGTTGTGTGTGTGTGTGTGATTTTGGGTGTCTTTCTTGATAATAAGGCTTGTGCATTTTCATCCCTGGGACCCTCGCAAATAGTATTCCTCTCTAAGATATCGATTACAATATCTATGGCCACCAGTCTGGCCTGTACTAGTACTAGTAACTAGTACTAGTACTTCTGCTTTGTTACTATTTATTTTTTGTACTTGCACTTTTACCATATTAATTTCGCATAGAAAGCACACCGCACCTGAACCCTGCACCACTCAACCCAACTTGAACTGAACTCCTTGAACAGTCCTTGAAAGAGACCCCATGAACCGAGCAAGTCACAAAAGGCGCACCGGGAGCCACCAGCGAGACCCAGAGCATGGCCCCTGCTCCGCTGCCTGGGCAAACCATCATGGGCCCCACCTACCAGGCAGGGTCCAGGTATTGGGATAATGGAAAAGAAAATGGAAACTACTATAAGGAGGTTATATGGGGATTATAGGGTTTAGGGTTTAGGGTTTGGATTTTACCCCATTAGGGTTTCCCAAAATTAGGGGGGTCCAGGTTTTGGAGTCTACGTTTACTACCCTCGCACACGGTCTATCTAGGTCCTGCTTTAGTTGGTATTTGGGCTTTATAGTGGGTATTAGTGGGTACTTGAGGGTCTAGGTAGCGTCGAGGATGTGGGGTTTAGCCTCATGCGCTTTGGGGTTTGAGATATATGTAGGTTTGGGGACTTCAATTTGGGGATTGAAATCGTCCAGGGCTTCGGCATTTAGGGGCTTTGAGTTAAGGGCTTGGGTCTTGGGCTGAGGTTCTTAGTCAGCTACGTGCAGCCTATGGATACACAGATGGATGATGACAGGATTTCAGGGCAGTGTTTTGGGAATTTACCCCTCTCTTTTTTGAGGGTTCTATAAGTGCTCTTCTTAGAAGCTCCCCAGTCGTGACTTTATCCCTAATTACTACGAACCTAGGCAGTCAAAATCCAAGTCATGACCAGGCAAGATCCTATACTGCGGCAGGACGAAAGCTCGTAGGCAGTTGCACATGCTTGCACACGTCCTGCCCAGACCTCGTTCCCGCCGAGACCCCGCCACCGATTCCTAAGTCTGGGACAACTAAATACAGTATAACAATTTCATTCCGTTGGATGAATTCCTATGCTGACCGGGCCAGGGAAAACACACTTTAGTGTACTCCGCAACCTCCGCGATCGACATGAAAGTAGGTACATGCGGGGCTACTTTGTTCCTAGTGATGTAGTCCGTTTTATACGATTAAGGGAACACTCATAGGGAACACTCGTGTTTTTTGACATACTAACCTAGCTGTAAGCATACTCCGACAAAGCAGGTGAAGATTCCTATTGACAGCGTCAGGGACCCTACCGGCGCCATTGCGACGCCGCATGTCCTGATCGAGTCTAAGGTGTAACTTGTGGGCCAGAGTCCATGAGCTTAATTAAATCGTGCACCCCCATCCCAAAACCCTGAACCCTAAACTACCCTATACACCCTAATTACTCTTGGGGTGTTGGAATTTCGGCTTTACAAGTTTAAGGGTTTTGGTCTTGTGGCTCCGGGTTGTTGGGCCGGCTGGCACAGGCTTGTGTTGAAACTATGCAGGTGTTCAGCAATATTTTCGTGCTACGGCCCGAACTTGGGTTGTTGTGCCTAGCCCTAGGGCTCCCAGTTACCTACATAGTAGGTTACTGGGCTATCTAACTATAGGGAATATGGAGCCTAGAACCCGTTATTTAGGTAACTGGAGCCCCAAGGTAGGGTCATATCATCAACATTTGCAAGCGTTCTTCAGGTGAATTTGTCTTCCAAAAGCAAATTCTGAATCTAAAGTGCCGTACCCTAAACCCTAAACCCTAATCACCTCCGAACCTCTTCAGGCCACTGGCTAAGAGACTGCCAACATGTCGGCCACGCGGACGCTAAACAATCAAGTCGAAGCCGCAAAACTGAGAATCGGTATGGTTCCCCAGGGCTACAGCTCATGCCTCTGAACACAAATATACAACTTTCAAGGAGGGGGCAGTTTAAGTTGCAGCGCGCAGCTACAAAAGCAGCCTTCTCGACCACTACCCCTAAACCCTCAACCCTTTTAAATCTTCATGCCTGTTTGCACAGGATGCGGATCATAGCACCCGCCTGTAAATCCATCCCTTTATCTGTAACCGCGCTTACCTGCAGTTCAGGAGGAAGTTTCGTCCAATGTGTAGGTACAAAACACACAAAAGTGTGGGTAATTTCGGTTACACGTGGATCCTAGGGCCTATACATCCCTATATATCCCTACGAATCCTTATATATTTTAGTACACGCCCTACCTATCCTAAGTTCTAGGCAGGTAACCTCTCCGAGCCCCAGCCCGAGCTGCAACAGACTGAGGCAGTTTCCGGCATCCTTCAAGCAGATTCAGGTGCATGGGGATTTCCTTAAGTTCAGAAAAAAAAACATGGGTCCCTACATTGGGTTTCCTATGATAAGGGTCCTGCCATCTTCCCCACGTTGGAGAGAATAATTTAGGCCAAGTCCCTCATGCCTTCTGGATTTAAGGCTTCGGGTTTCTAGTCAGCACCCCATATCCCTAGTGGCAAACATGCCTCCCGATGTATTTGGGTCACTATAGGGAATAATGAATGTTATGTTTGCATGAGCAGGATGGGTGACTAAGGTGACATGAGGGACATGTGCTAGGTGTACAGGGGTCCCTAACGATGATGTAGGAGTTGTTGTTGACTCAGAGCGGACAGAGTGGTGATTGGGCACAAAGCTTGTTGCATGCAGAAGATACTAGAAGTTAAGACTATAGCTCATATGGGAGTTATGAGTTTATGTAGGAGTTTCTTAAAGTCATCCCTATGCTTGGGAACCCATGGCCCCCCCTCACAGGCGCAGGGGTACTAGCTTCCATATCCTCCAAGACGCCCAGACCTAAATTCCGCCAAGAAAAAGTGCTGAACCCTACAAGCCTCGAGACCCTAAACCCTAAGATGTTTTATGGATGGGTTAATATTGGGATAATGGAGAATCCAATGGAAAAGAAAATGGAAAATGAAATGGAAACTGGGGTTATATATAGGGGTATATCACTTGTACCTGTAACCCCAGTTACCCACAGCTTAGTAGTAATTTTCCCTTAATTCGTAGGTATAATCCATAAAACTGTAGGTAATGGGGGCCACAGGTAAACCCTAAGATGGTAAACCGCGAGCCCTACCTTAGACGCTAGAAATCAACCCAAACCCGACACTAAATGCTGTCTAAGCCCAAGACTCGAAGCCCTAGACCCGAAGCAGTAGCTTCCATTTTCCTCACCATTTTCTCTTCTGCACTCCTATATATCCCTAAACCCTAAACCCCCATAAGCTGAGGGTTTCACACATCCCAGGGGTTTGGGTGCCACAGGTGGACGGCGAGGCTCAGTATGTCGCAGGCAAGAGCGAGGCTGTTGATGGCCCTCCACAGGCCGGGCGTAGGGTTTAGGGGTTAGGTTTTAGGGGTTTAGGGTTTTTGGGGTTATATAGGTTTTAGGGGTTTAGGGTTTATGTAGGTTTTAGAGGTTCAGAGTTTAGTGTTCAGGGGTTACATGGGTATTAGGCGTTTAGGGTTTAGGTCGTAGGGCTTGGGTTCGGGGGGTTTAGGGTAAAGCGCTCAGGGTCTAGGGCTTGGGATTCAGGGGTTACGGTGTATAGTCCAGAGGGGCTTTGTGGCTTCAACCACCCAGACGGGGCTGTAGGAATTCATGGGATATGGGGTTGAGAGCTTCGGACTTAGAATTGCTGACTCGGGGGCTTCAAACTGGGGGGCTGTAAGCGTCCTACAAGGGGTTCTTATCAGGGATGGGATTAGGGACGAAGCCGTTGAGGCCTGGATGTTACAACCCTGAGCTTTCAAGCCGAAACTATGCAAGCCGTTGACCCCCTCCTCAGATTCTAGCATTACATTCGAAACCCGAAGCGCCCTAAAAGAACTCACCTCAAACCCCTTCAGTTGGGCACTGTGGCTTAATAAGGTAAACCTCTTGACTAAATACGCTCCCAGCCTTGAACCCAGAAATATCGTAGGAGCCTGAAGAAGTACTGTAGTAGTGCGGTGTGCTTATGACACTCCTTTACCCTAAACTCTGAACCCTTTACCCTTCACCCTATACCTATAGTGTAACAATACCCAAAATCCTATTTTAATTATTTGGGGCACTCCAACACATGAAGCCTTAATTCCAAAGCCGGGTGCAGGTTACTGAGCAGCGAGTGGAACAGACCGTGGCTGGCCAATTGAAGCAGCAGGTGCAGCGCATGTTACTTACCGGGGGTTAGTAGAGAATATGGGAATGCATGTTCTATTCCCCGATTAGGAAGAACTAGTTATCTTGAGTTATATTAATACGGACTACTATGGAGAAGGAGTACATTCCAAACTCTGTATGAACAAGACCATGGCGCTGGTGTAAGGGACTCTTCAGCTGGGCTGAGCACTGGATAGGGCCGGGTCTAGGGAGAGGTATTGGCTCGGGGTTCCTTTAGGGGTTTAGAGTTATTTCTCTGGGGATGGTAATAAAATTCAGAAAGAAGGTAAGCATCATACCAGGTTGCAAAGTTTGCTAGATTGAGGAGTTAAGGTTTTGGGGGGCCGACGTCCGGGTTTAAGCTTTAGGGTCGTCGTCTCCTCCCCCCTCTAAACCCTAAACCGTAAACCCTAAACTCCTCCCCGTCCCACTCCTCCTGATCCAGCGCTGTCTCCGGGTCCTCCTGCTTCTCTGGACAATTCCACAGGGTCCATGTACAAAATAATTAGGTCCCGTTGGAGGGGTATATAGGGTTATATAGGGGTATATAGGGGTATATAGGGGTATATAGGGTTTAGGGTTGAGGGTCCATGTACCCAA